ATTAATTAAATCGTCTGTAATCGCTTACGTAAGAATTGCCGGGCGGAACTCTGTTTCCGCCCGATTCGCGTTCGCCGGGCGCTGACGTCATCCTGTCGTCCGCATCCTTATTTTCTCTTTTTTTTCGTGAATTTTAAATATATTTCCTTTTCATTTCCTAGTATAAAATTCATAGAAAATCGTATTCATTGAGAAAAACTCTGAATAATTACAAAATATTATATTACATCCCTGTGATCGACCTGGGAAATTACCGCTATTTTTGGAACTTTTATTGAATTATAATTGATATATTTATTTATAAATACTTCTAAATATCCGGAAATTCGTATTTTCTAGTTTTATAAATTTTAGATTTGCGTGATTTAATATACAACAACTGAGTCACGTCAATGTTCTAGGTGAGGCAATAGCTTGAGGTAAGAGAAAGTTTTCAGAATAAAACCAAACTAATTGTAAGGACTGTCCCATGGTCTTCATATTGATGTGTATAGTCAACATAAGTTTCTACAAAGCTTAGGTGTGACCAATTTGGTCAATGAACATGAACATTTCATACATTTGGTCTATGACATGGGTATAAGAAATGGTGATGTGACTATAAATAATTGGAAATGGATAATAAAATACATAGCTGATATCAAATAAGTTGAAAAGGGGGAATATATATAAAGAAAAATCAAAGTAAAAATGTAGGGGGTTATCTATTACAAAGTATTATTTTATTGCATATTGTGACAAATAATTGAGAACAGTGTCAAAACTGAAATGTTAGTTTGGAAAAAGAGAGCAAGAGAATGAATCTTTTTATTGAAGGATCAGAAAAAAATCGGTCTGGATCTACTGTAGGAATTATTTGGAAGATCCAAAACTCAAAATAGTGGTATTTGCTAGCAACAGCATAATGGAGGCAATGAACATGCCATGACTATTAGGAAGTTTGTACTTTAGTCAGAGGCTATGTAGGATTCATGTACTAAAGTCATTCAAAACTAAAAATTACCTTGAGACAAAAAAATATGCAAATTTACATAAGAAAGGACTATAACATTCAGATGTATTATTATTGACAAATAATATCTACTATCTGGATGAATAAAGAATGAATAGTTTAGAAGAAGACTAAAATAATGTAAACAGATCACCTTATAGCCCATAACCATAAATTACATAGATACTATATTAAACATTTATGGATATCTTGAAGAGATAGTTGAAAGAATGGTGCTATGATCGCTAAAGAGAGAAGAAGACAACAATTGCACATGAGGTGGTGACCAATTTATAAGAAGCTATTCTCTATAAACAACAATGACAAACTAGTTTCTACCCAAAATGGCTCAGCAAAGATGGAGAAGTGTAAACCATTCCATCAAGGAACAAACAAATTTGGAAAATAGTTTTATTATTATTGGTTACAAGCATGATGGAAGAAACCAATTATATTATCTACTAATTTGTATCACACTCCTATCTATTATGATTAATTGTTATTAATGGTTGAGGATGCCATAATAACCCAATTTATGTTGCATTCCAAAGCCCAACAATGAGTCAGTTAAAGGAAAAGAAACTTGACAAGGCTCATTTACTACAGAGTTCATACCCGAATGAACATCAGAAAAAATGCACATCCATGTATTTGTGCAGAATTGAATCTACTAAGGAATCTGGAATATAATTATATTGCCTCATCAACATAAACATAGGGTAAACCTTGTGGAAAAATAGCTTCATAAAAGGATATTGCAACTGAAAACCATTATTAGTTAAGAGTTTTTTGCAAATGGTTGAACATGCCATGAAGACATAAATGACAGTTTGATACTAAGCCAAATAGAGAGCTAGAGAAAAAACACATGACAAAGTTTTGGAAGGTTATTCATGAGATTGTAACCAAGTAGAGAAATTATTTACTACCTATCAATTGGATACAAAGATTTAAATGAAAAATGGGGGGAACAAAGAGATAGAAACAAGGAAATTCATTCTTAAAAGAGAGCGAGAAAACTGAATTGAGCATTTACTATATGTTTGAATTTGGAATAAAATATTAAGAAATAAGAATAAAATAGTGCCTACCATAATATAGTCTAAAGGCCGCTATTAAGCTGGGAGAGAAAGAACTCAGCATAGGTATGGCCAAGGATACAATGAGTTAGAGGCCACCTTCAAAATAATCGTTAACTAGAAGTGAAATTAATCCAAATATCATACAAAAAATACTCGTGCAAAAAGTCACAAAGTTAAATTTGCTAAGAATTTTCATGTTTAATTCATGTTCATAATTGACTCACGTTTGGCCACTATTTTTATGGTGAAATAATAAATGTTTCAAAAGAAAAAAATAAACTACTAATTAAAGTTCACAATGTATACCTTCCTCATCAATCACATAGATTTTATTTGTATTATTGAGGGTATCATGAACATGCAACTGAAATAATCCTATTAGACCTAAAAGATGGAGAAGAAAGACAGCACATGACACTATTTTGGCAAGATTCACATCGAGTGACATCAAAATAGACATTATTCACTTTTGAAAAAAATCAGAGGCAAAGTTTCTAGAAAAAATAGCATAAATACAAAGGCTAATGTACATGTAAATTGATTTAATGATGGAAATTTTTTTGGAAATGATCAGTATTATGATATAAATATAGAATAACCAATACAGGAAAAAACCAAGATACTACTAAGAAAATGTTAGGTATCCCAACCCTATCAATTAAGTTAGATTGCTTCATGTGTTTGAATCTGCAATGGTGACTTATTTTGATAGTACATTATGGGGCCATTTGTCAGGTAGGAAAAAAGACAGCATTGTCATGGACAAAAGATGGACACAAATCAATGGCAAACTCCCAAAGAGTCAAGAAGTAGAGATTAAATTTAGTTAGCCAATATTATACAAGAAAAATATGTTCATGCACAAATATATTGAAATATATTTTCTCTACTGCTGGAAACATAGGAGGAACCTTGGGAAGGAAGAAAAACAATACTAGGAATAGAGTTTGCAACCAACAACTATCAATTGAACAAAGACTAACAGATGGTGAACAATTAGGAATATAATAGTAAGCCAAATAGAAAGTTAGAGAAGAACCACATGACACCATATTAAGGTTGTAAATGGTAAAGTTACCAAGTAGAGATGAATCATCAAATTGGAGTGAAATTCTTAAGTAATGTTTATGCAAAACTTGGGGTAGATGACGAGACACTAGCACATGAAGATCATTCCAATAAGAGATACTGAAATCTAAAATTAATGATGATTACTAACTTAAATATACAATATCTATTGGTTGAAAAACCCCAAATAATATCAAATGCATAATGCACATATCAAAATTATTAATTGGATTGATATTGTCACAACTTGCTGGCCATGCCAAGACAAGATAACCATTGGTCTACATGCCAATTATAGATAGAGATGAGGAGCATAACTACTCTAGAAGGACCTTTACTACTAAGGGAATTTATACGAAATATTATGTGAAAAAATCTCAAATGAGCATTAAAGGAAAAACTAAATCTACTGAGCATAGAGGTATACACTCGTATCTATTATTTATGATGCATATATGACTTTATCATATGAACATTTAGCAACCCTCAAGGAAGAACACTCAAAAGAATCAAATGAGAGGATTTTGACACCCCAAACCATCAATTGCGCAAGGATTTAAAAATGATTAAAACTTGCAATTAAGAAAACACTAATACTATGGCAGAAGTTGGATAGTGACACAATAGAGAAATCAGTTGACATAGAAGTGACAAATACCTAAATGAGGCACATGTAAAGCCATGATGAATCATTTATTATTATAAATGATGTTAAAATAAATATGGCCAGAAAATAGATAAAGACAAAGGTAAATCATTCCAATAATGGTCCTTAAATCTGAAAACGTTATCCTTACTATTGTTGCTGCTACTACTATATTAATTTATTATTCTTATTTAAATAATTTAAATATCTATTGTTATTGTGGGGATGATTATATGATAAAAAATTTAGAAAGATAAAAATAATTCTAATTGAAGACTAATGAAAACCACCAATTGCATCAGGATTGTAGAGAATGGTAAACAACATCATTAACACTAAATGGACACTATGGGAAAAAAAGAAATAGAAGGGAAAAGAAAAGTCAAGAACAATTATTCACTACTGATAAGATTTATCATTTATAGCATATTAGAGGAAATTTTACATCAATTGCGAAAAGTAAAAATAAATGTCAAATTATTATCAGTGTTATTTTTACTACTAATGCCATAGCAATCTATATTGTGCTTATGAATTGGATCCTGGAATAAATCTTTTTGGACGAGATATATAATTTTATGAGAGAGTTTTTTTAACTCATAAATATTAACTGTGAGATTATTGTAAATACTCAATCATGCCATCAAGACTAAATTGGCAACATGGAATGAAAGACAACATATAGGTCGGAAACAAAAACCATATCATAGCTATGAGCAATGCTCTACATGAGGTGGAGACCAAATGAGGAGGAACCACTACAAACGACAGAACAGGTAAGCAAACCTCACAGCACAGAAAGGTAAGTGATAGAGATAAAAACCAATGTAGATGTAGTGTGAAAAACACTCTTATCTCAGATTTGTTACTATTTCAACATGAGTGTCTATCATGAGAATGGATAAAGAATCAACACAATGATGAGGGAGCATTTCTTAACCACAACCATCAATTGAGCTAAACACAACCACGTTCATGGGAATCAAGGTGGTCTGTAGGCAAACACAAATATGCATAGGCAACGATACAAATTCATCATCATCATCGTCTAGGAAGAACGTCTGAAAGATTCCAAGTTTCTCGATACAGGATTAGCAACGAAAGGAAATAACTTTGTCCATAAAATATCTCCAAATACATGGAGCAAAAACAAAAAAGACAATATAGAAGACACCAATAAGTGGTCGATACCGAACACAAACCATTATTATCATCACTGAGCTGCAAGAGTGTCCAAACGCCGAGAAAAACCTCTAACTCTATTAAAGATCAAACCACCTAATAATGCACTCTATGTGGTAACTATGCCCGCAGGGCATTGTCGTGCAGTTGGCGCCCATATATACCATTCCCTTGCAAAAAGGACAGACCGCCGCGGGCGGAGGCAACGTCGGCGCGGGGGCTACAGCATCCACCGACGCCCCACCCCCCTCTTCAACATCGTCCCCTCTGGGTTTTCTCACCATGAGTCTGTGAGAGTCGTTTTCCTCGTCGTAGGCAACCTCTGTAACCACCTCAACAGTCAAGGCTGCCCACATTGCCTTGTGCTCGAGAAAACCCGCTTTATTGATGGCGTCATTGAGGAACGTGGTGACATCACTGCGGATCTGGCGGCCAGCGGCGTCGGGGAATGGCTCGGGTAGAGACAGCAGCCGGGCGTTGAGGACCCGGAAAGGCTCCGCTAGAGTGTTATCGCGGTTTCCCATGTCCGCCTGCAAGAGAGAGAAGAAGTTGACGGAGTGAAAAGGTACCGTCAGGTCCCTCTCGTCGATCACACGCTCCGCCATCAGCTTCCACTTGTGTGTGACGAGGAACTCCATCTTCGTGTCTGCGGGCCCATTTTCGATGCGCACATTGAAGCTGGCGGGGCCGCCGGAAACGGAGGTTAGGGTGCGAAGGGTCACCTCGCACCAGCCATTAGCCAAGGGGATCTTGACCTTGTTCTTGCTAGATCTGGCATCGAAGGACATGGCTCCTGTGCTGCGGCGAGTGGTTGTGGGGAAGACGATACTGGCGTTGCGGCAGGAGCCGGCGGAGGTAGCGCGATAGATACAGAGGACAATCAGGGTTGTAGAGTATATATAGGACAAAAGGCTCATTCTTTTCTGCCTATTCCAGACAAAAGGTAGCTTCTTTTTCCCGTGCGCTGGATTCCCGTCGAATGACTGACGCCCACAGCCTCCTCCTCCCGAGAGAATGCCACGTAATTGATAGGTCTCTGAACGATGCCACTGGCCTCCCTCCCTACGATTTCACTGTTCTTTTTTAAGGCCGGTTCACTGTAGAAATATTTTAAAATAAAACGGTGATGTAGTCCCGCGCTCCATTTCCGACTCTGCAGCCGGCACGGGGACACTCGGCGAAAACGGGGAGCTACGTCCAGCTCTGATCCTCACAGTCGTTTCCAGAGGCAACAGGGCTCTCACAGCATGCGGACGGCGACGAGCACAAGGATCATACGGACGGCGAATGCAGGAGAGAGCAATTTCTCCGGGTAGTCGCCATGGTCTCTTCCCTTATCCCTTTATTCAGGAACCTTCCCCCGGTGTTTTCCCATTCCACTACTGATTATTTCCCCTTCCGGCCAAGCGAGCTCACAAATAGGATGACTGCGAGGTCTGCGCATGTGAAGGAAGCCATGGGCGGATAATGTGGCCAACAAAAGGGCATCTCCTTCCGCGGAAACGGCCGAAACCCAGAAGACCAGCAGAACTCCGATGCTATCGCCAAAGCTAACCTCAGAAGAACATAGAAAATTCTCAGCAGGTGCGTCCGAGCAGTTTTAGCTCCACAACGGCCTCGAAGGGTGGAATCCAATAAGAGAATACCGGGAGCGAGTAGAAGATTCGGAGAATGCACTGGAAGTATCTGAAAAGTAAAGGCAAAATGCGGCCAAGACAGCAACTCTGCTGATGTTTAGTGTGATGGAGAAGCGCATTGCATCAGCAGAAGAAGTTTGACATGTTTCAAGCAAACCTAGGACAGATTCGGGTGTAATGAGGAGCTATCCTCTGAATGAGATTCGCGAGGTGATTGCCATCCTTAAAATAGCCTTCCTCCGAAGCTCGTCTTCAACCAGGAATCTGTGCGGTGTTGGCTCGTCTTCAAGCCATAGGCGCACAGATTCCGGTGTACTGAGCAATCTACTTTTTCTTGATTTTCAATCCTTTATGTTTTATCAATCGTATTATCTGATGTAAGAAAATTATGGGAAAACTCAAACGGCGTGCAGCATTGGGAGATTTCTAGGGTTAGAATATCTATGCGAATCTCGATGCTAAGGGCCCTTCGATAATCCAATTCGCTGGGCCAGGACCTGATGGTCTCATTGAGATCTCCATGAGGCCGAGAGCCCTCACATACCAAGCACAATAATACAGTTAACAGGAGTGCATTCTACAAGGTAATTTTTGTTTGATTCCTTTATACCAGATGTGGAAGGGTCCCAGATATTCCACAGATGTGGATAACTTCAAGAAATGATATCTAGAAAGGACATACATTTTGGTGCTTTGGTAACATGGTTAGCGTAAGATATCATCGATATCATTATTTTTATTTGTATTGCTCTTTTTGGGCTTTTTAACTTAGGTCGAGTCGTTTATAGGCTTTAGTATCTCTAGTGTTTTTGGTTTATGAATTTTCATCATCATTAGAGTCATTGTTTATCGATGAAAGTTTCATTGCTAACATATGATACAAAATATTATTTTGAGATGTCAATTGTTCGGTTGGAGGGATTGCTTATCGGTATGAACAAGTCTACTTACTTAGGTGAGTCTGAAGCCACTTTCAATGACACAATATTCACTTGAGCATGGGATGAAGCCCATTTGTTTCAGCGTGTTGGAGTCAAATTGAACATTAGATAAGTACATCAAAACATTCATTTAAATTAGGTGGTTAAAGGTTATTTTCATTAATACATCGAAGGACTTTCCACAGTGAGTTCGACCCCATTTTTACAATGAACTGCTTGAAGGAAGAATGGGAGGGAAGTAAACTATTGAGGAAATCCAGCCTTACAATTATGTCGATGTACATCCATTGCAGTGGTGAGGAGCGGGAAGACAATGCCAGCGAATAACAGGAAAGAGGATCACCTTCGCTGCCATTGGTCCCTCTTAACCCCAGTAGAAGTGCGGTCACCAGAGAAAAATTTAAAGAGGGGTGCAGGGGGGGGGGGGGGGGATCAATGTCTTTTGACCGCTTCGGGCTCGATGCGTTTTGCACCGAGTATCGGTAAAAGGGAGAGGAAACAGGACAAGAGCAAGAGGAAACATGGCGAGGCAATGGATTATTTGGCGGTGTAAGAGGGTATATTAAACTGGCCATCAGGATGAGCAAATGAAATCTAGATACGGGAGATCAACAAGTATGCGGATCAAGATTGGATTTGCCTCGAGTATCGGACTCAGAATATCCTATCAATATCGTCATATAAGTATTTATATTCTGAATTTCAACTTATAAACTATAAATAAAATACTTTAGTAATATGAGGATTATTTACCGACATTCTATTTAGGGGTTTTTTTATTACGTATTTATTCGTTCTTCTTCCTATGAAGGCATCCAAGTTTCCTCTCACAAACTGATCGGGATCTTCATCTAGAGTAACTGATTCAACATATCCTATAATAGGCTCCATTCACGCAGCAAGATTTCTGACAGTTATCAACAATGTACATCATTCTATCTAAATAATCTCATTGCAACCCTAATTATACTGGTTGAATCCTGGTAAAGCCATTAAATCTTGCCTACCAAGACTTGGATCTAATCACGATACTCTTTCTTCATGTCGCTGTGGAAAGGAATGCGAACATGCAAATAAGATGTCAAAACAGCCACCTTCACGTTTTTTATTTTCAATGCTTCTCTATGCTCCGATACGATGAGGATTTATTCATGAAGACCTTACAATGTATATTATCGGAATGGATGAGAGAACCTTATGCAAACACGTGTTTTTTCCTATGAAAAAACATAGAGGTTTCTACACAGTTTATCAGCTGACAGCTAAGTGTCGAACCTGCAAGCTACAGCCGATCTCTGAATCAAGTATTGAAACTAAGTGTCAACTCCACAGTTTAAGAGTCGATAACCACATCTGTTGACAGGTAAAGACCTCCCAGACTATACGTTAGACTGAAATGATGACACGATATAAAGGCCATGATTTGCAAATTTACTATTGTAATTTACCGAAACTACCAACCAAAAAAACTTAAAAACTAGATACTTTATAGCCGTCAAGGAGATAAGTTTATGTACTATATTGTTGGGGATCTCAAGACATAAATGAACCTTAATAAGATAAATTTTCAAAACTTTCACTAATTCGAAAGTTTCAAGATCATGGAGCTCTCTTTCGAAGAGCCAACAAACTATACGAAGTTTGTATTTGAGGCACTCCCATCATAGGAAACGAATCTATAACCCTGGTTTGGAGGAATTATCTATTATGACAAAAGTAAGAAGCAAGTAGATCAAATTAGATGAAGAGATTGAGATAGCAAGGGAGATAAAACGACTAAAAATATTACTCATCTCGAAAAAAAACCTCATGTCTAATTTCTATAATCTTTACATGTTTATGAGCTTTTTTGCCTCAGGCGGAAGCAGCTGTAGATCAAGCCCTGAAAGTCCTCTCCTCGCAACTCCCTCAGATGTAGTTTTATTAGTCTAAGAAAAGTGATTGATATCAAAATGAAAATTAAAAAAAATAATAAGGTGAAAAAAAATAATTATTCCAAAATAAAATTCATAATGATTTTGATTTTAATGTTGTCTGATTACAGAATTTTTTATACATGGTACTTAACTTCAAGACGCAAAAGCAATATATATCATCAACTAACATATATGGTAAGTAACTTACATTGTATTACCATTATGTTTTATCATGTTAAAATGAAGATAAATTTTGAGGAAAAGATAAAACCTGCAGCTAGTTGTATTCAAAGTAAAGACAATATAATTATGTTTTCTATTAATTTAAATTATCCATTAGAAATAAAGGGTACTTATGTATGGAATGTGCATAATATGTTTGAACAAAATAAAGAATTCGAAATATGGGACAAAGTAGATAATGAGTCATTCAAATTTTGGAAATAATTGGTATAAGTCATCTACTAGTGAACAGATACAGCCAAAGAATAAATCTAAACAAAATAGAATGAAAAAAATTCAACTATCTATACTAAAATTAGAAATATTAATAATGTTTGTCATTCTTAATATTGATATGATAAGAAGTTAAAAGCAAGAAAATATTATGATGTGTTTTATGCTCGTCGTTTTTTACTTATGAAACATTTTAACTCACTATTGACAACTTCAAGAGCATGGGAGAAGATTCAACTAGTCTGTGCTGGAGACAGGACTTGACTTTAGCAATGTGTGTGATTTAGATACATTAGGTACTAACAGGGTATATTAGACAATGAAAATAATGATAATAAGCTTTTTAAACTCATTTAAAATATGCATTAATTAGATGTGTGGAGGAAAGGACTATGTTGGTTATATCGATTCAGAATTATCATTATCAATATAAATTACCTATTGCCAACAAAAACTGATCTGCAAGATCTATGCCAAATAATAGTGGCCAAAATCACTTAGATAGATATTATCAATTTGAGGTGTCTTACACTTTTAATTAACATGGTAATTTCCAATTTTACTTTTTAATGACACATGTAGGAGAAGATGAAATTAACTCTAAGTTTCTTTTAAAAGTAATGTTGATCTGTTGCCAGGCTTTATTTTTAGTCTATTACTCTTAGCATTAAGAATATCGTGCATACATGATGAAGCAAATGAATGTCCCAAAAAAGAGTAGAGCCATGGAAATATGAAATTTCTAATAGAACCTCATTTTCCCTCCATTTGGAGGAAACATATCCTAGTAACTACAAAGAGAAACATCGAATAAGAGATGTATAAACCAAATATGAAAGTTAATATCAACTGCATACGCACTTTTGCTTAGGTTACTACACGCCTATTTTCATTTGTTGTTCACCCAAGTAAAGATTTTAAAACTTTTGAGTCCTAGATACATGATACTCAAGCTCAAGTGTGTCAAAAGGTTATCACATTCCTAAGAGGAATCATCTACTGTGCTCAAGGATGATCCTTTGTCTTCATTGTTGAGAACATATGGTACTAATCCTCAACCATGATAATCAGCATATTTGGTAGTCCCTAACAAACAGGCTATGATACTCATGTTGACATTGAGGACTATAGAAGGAAGATGGTGAGTTCAGTATCTTGGGACATGTTGATATAATTGATCTCTTCTTCTAAACAAACTTGTATTGTTAAGTAGACATTAATTTGGCTTCCTATCCACATACAATGTGTAAATTTGGGTATTTCCTCTGATATATACATGTTTAAAGCATATCTCCCTGTGGCACCAGTGTTGACTATTCTTAAGGTCTGGGTCTTTAGTAGGTTTATTGATAGAAATTAATCGTTTATTCCCAGATGCCTTGTCCCTCCCTTTTTGTATTCCATTTATTGCTCTTCTATGGATGAAATGAAGAATTAAGAGATAGGAAGAATTCTATGTGAGAATTTCCCCACCCCCTTCTTTTCCCTTGTTTATGATAGGAGAAAAGAATTCACATTTGAATTTTCAACGGATAGTCATTTCAACCTAGAATTTCCCCAGAAGGAAACCAGTAAACCATGGAGACGAATCTGTGGATATTGTCTGCATCCAAAGAACTAGTCTGAAAAAATCCAAATTTCTCCTACAAGAGTGACAACAGTACGAAATAATTTATTCCCAAGAAATGCCCAAGGAAGCAAAAACATAAAGGATAACTGAGAAGATTCCGCCGCACGATTCGAGAACGCCAACCATTGCATCTTCCCACGGAGCAAAAACCCTAGCTCTAGCTTAAGCCAACCAACCTCTTCGTGCATGTCATATGGTAACGGTGGCCGCAGGGCATCTTCATGACGTCTTCTCCGGCATGGATGATTTCCCTGCACAGCGTGCAGGCCAACGCCGGGGCAATCAACGGCGCGTCAGCGTGGCGATTAATCGCGGCCCCGGCGGGAGCTCCCCGCTGCTGCTCCCCTCCCCTCGCCATCTGCCTGCGCGGGGGGTCCTTTTTGTAGTTGATTTCCAATACCACCTCCATGGTCACAGCCACCCGCATCGCCCGGTGCCCGAGGAAACTCGCCATCTTGATCGCGTCATCGAGGAACTCACCTACGTCTCTCTGGACCTGGCGGCTTACGTCGTTGGGAAGGCGATCGGCGAGGTACAGTAACCGAGAGTTGAAAGCCTGGCCCAGCGCGTTCCCGTTCTTGCCGTTGACCTCCTCCTCATCCAAGAGAGAGAAGAAGTCGACGGCATGGAGTGGCGCCCTAAGGGGCCTATCAATGATCACTTGGTTCTCCACCATCAGCTGCCATTTGTCGGTCGCAATGACCTCCATCTTCGTATCGGATGAACCCTGTCCAATGCCGACTTCGTTTTCGGCGGGGCCGCCTGCGACGGAGCTTATTGAAGCCATAGTCACGTCACACCGACCCTGAACAAAGGGGAAGGTGAGGTTTTTCCTGCTGGATCTGGAATCGAAAGACATGGTTTGTTTACTGAGGCGAGCTTCGGAGAGGATGATGGCGGCGGCTGCAACTGGTCGAGATAGAGAAAGAGGGAGGCTTGTCTGTTGAGAGACTGCTTGGGGGCGTAACATGAATAACGCTCGCTTCTGTCGTTTCAATGGTTGAAAGCGAGGGAATGTTAGCTGTTTTGCCGCGCCCAAACCCCTAGATTCCCGTGGACGCCACATGGACGCCGGGACGTGTCTGGGAAGGCGACTCTTGGGAAAACACGACAATGGCGGCGATAGATGGGTCAAGATATGGATGACCGCTGTCAGGAGTCTCTTCCTGACGTCATTAGGAGTAAAGAGTAATGGAAGGGAGTGGAAATAGCACATGGAGCTTTCTATGGCTGCTGTGTGGTAGAGATGGCTTGAACAACAATGATTCAATACCAGCATTTAAATATTAGTTTTAAATAAATTAAAATACTTTAATCTATTTTAGAATTCTTCTTGAGCCTCACAATTTTTTATTCAATTGTAATTCTATACTTGTGAATTAATGAGAGAGAAACAATGTTGCATGTGGAGATACAGTCTTAGAGATTAATTGGAACACATTATTTGAGTTTCCTTCAAGGCCCATTAGTGTTTCCTTGGGTGGGAATTCAAAAGATTTAGATTATTTTTCGTATATAAGGAATGCAGGAAGGGGGTAAAACATGAAATGTTATTTGCGGCCAGTGTGAGGTGTTGATGGGTTAAACAATAATGATTACATACAAATGTCTGAATCTCATTTTTTAATTAAATTATAATATTTATTTTACTTTAGAAATCATCTTGAGCCTCACCCTTTTTCTTTTTATAGAATTATAATTATGTACTCATGAATTAATAAGAGAGAAATGATGTTCCTTATGGGATTTGATATTAAAGGTCATGGAGTTTTTTGATTTCCTACAAAGACAATTGGCATTTCCTTTGACAAAAATTCAAAAGTTTTGATTATTTTAGTATGTTAGGAATGAAGAAGGGGATGGAAATAGTGAATGGAGTTCTCCATGGCTGACGAAAGGTATTAATGGCTTCCACAATAATGATTACGACATTCATTTTATTGTAGAAAATGTCTTGAGCCTTACCCTTGTTCTTTTTATGGAATTATAATTTTGTTCCTACCGAGGCAAGTTGATGTTTTCTTTGATGATAATTCAAGTTTAGATTGTTGTACATTGTAAGGCATGAGGAAGGGATAGAAATAGTGAATCGATTTCTTTGAGGCTAGTATGAGGAATTGATGGCTTTAACAATAATGATCACATACAAGCATCTGAATCTCATTTTTAATAAATTTTAATATTTATTTTATTGTAGAAACTATCTTGAGCCTCACCCTTTTTCTTTTTATGGAATTATAATCCTATGCCCATTAATTAATGAAAAAGATACAATGTTCTTTGTGGGGATTAGATATTAGAGGTCATATGGAGCTCATTCATTGAATTTATTGCCAAGACAAGGTGGTGTTTCCTTTGGCAAGAATTCAAAAAATTTAGATTATTTTAGTAGGTAATGAATGTGGAAGGGGGTGAAAATAGTGAATGGTGTTCTTCGTGACTTTCATGATGTACTGATGGCTTGAACAGATTTGATTCAATACCAATATATGAATGTTACTTTTTAATAAGTTGAAACATTTAGTTTTTTTTAGAAGTCATCTTGAGCAACATCTTTGTTCTTTTTATAAAATTATAATTCTTTACTCATGAATATATGGGAGATATGTGATGTCCCCTCGTAAGGATTTTGATATTAGAGGTCATATGGAGGTCATTATTTGAATTTCCTACTAAGATAAGTTGGTCTTTCTTTTGGTGGGAATTCAAATTTTTTTATTACCTTAGTATGTAAGGAATGAGGAAAGGGTTGAAAATAGTGAATTGATTTCTCCATGATTGGCAAGAGGTATTGATGGCTTTCACTATTCTGATTACATACTAACATATAAATCTTATTTTTTAATAAATTAAAACATTCAGTTTATTGTAGAAACTATCTTGAGCCTCACCCTTTTTCTTTTTATGGAATTATAATCCTATGCCCATTAATTAATGAAAAAGATACAATGTTCTTTGTGGGGATTAGATATTAGAGGTCACATGGAGCTCATTCTTAGAATTTCTTCCCAAGGCATGTTGATGTTTATTTTGGCTAGAATTCAAAAGTTTAGATTATTTTATATTCTAATGAATGAGGAAGGGAATAGAAATAGTTAATAGAGTTCTGTGGCTGATCTGAGGTATTGATGGCTTGAACAATGATGATTACATACAAACATATGAATCTATTTTTTAATAAATTGCAAAAGTTTAACGCTAGATTCACATCTCTCCTTCTAACAACAATAGCAAAATAATGCCATGTGGATGTGAAGACATCTTTGGGAAGGCAGCTCTTGGGAAAATATGACAATGGCGGCAAAGGATGAGATAAGTTATGGGATGATGGGTATTAATAAGAAATGACATATGTGGATGAAAATAGCAAATGGAGCTTTCTATGGCTGTTGTGTGATATAAGATGGCTTGAATGGCAATGATTCAGTACCAAGATTTAATGTTTTTGAGAATATAATGTAACAATTGTCACTTCTCTCATTCAATGGTTAATAGTGAAGAAATATTAGTTTCTTTTCAATGCAAGGAGTTATACTCTCATCTCTCCTTATGATAACTGAAGGAAGAGAATGACATGTGGATGCCAATATATCTCTAGGAAGGCAGTGGTTGGGAAGACAATGAGGGCAGAATGAGGTAACATATGAAAATATCCCTGTCAAGGTTCCCTCTTATACTTCAATAGTTTTACAATTGGCTTGTCCACTAGTATCAAAAGTGAAAGGTTTTTTGTTGACTATAGTCCTATGAACTCTTTCTATTAATATTTCAAATGTTATCCTAATTTAGTTAAGCACATAAATCAAGAAGGGGGTGTGAACTGATTCTCAAGGTATGATTTCCTTATTATGTTTTAAATATATCAAATTCTCCATAAAATAAATCAACTAAGATAAAAGGAGGAAAAATAAATACATAGGTTCTATAATGAAAGATGAATAGTTGGCCGATCTTTTTTGGACTACATGTACTATGGAGATCATAGTCTCAATTCTACTATGCTTGTTTAGAGAATACAATTGACTTCATAAGATCAATGGCCCTTCATATTTGATAAATATTCACAAGATCTATCTTTCCACACTAGACACAAGTCCCTAACTAGCCCATCTACTCCATGACATGTGCTTCTTGTGTACCTTCACTCATTCAACCACACAAGAATAGAAATCTAGCAAGTAATCAATATGAAAGATTGGTGGTGTGAAAGCTCTCTTAGTTTTTCTCATGCTCCCTTTGATTTCTCCACATCTTGACTTAACATCAATGAAAGTCCTATTTTTATCCTTAGCTTATGGGACCAAACAGTCTACTCAACAACTAGTTGAGTGGATGTTAATGCACCATGGCTGTGCCTAAAATACATAGAAAAAACCTTTCAATCTTGTATACATCAAAAAAGAAAAAACTTCTAAATAGGAAACAATCTTTTTTGCACTAGATTCTTCATTATTTAAGATTTCTAATGACTACTTGTAAGCATAATCTTGCAGCTAAAAATAATTTTGATCCACTAGATTAGAAAGTTAGTTCATTTTATAGTCATGTGAAATTTTGAATTCAATATGGTGTTCATCTAACATGAAATGGTTTGGCTATGGTAGATGAGAATATTTTTAATAAATAGTGAATTATTTTCAATATATTGAAGACATTAAAGGGAGTAAATAGTAGAGTTTCCAAATCATATTAAAAACATATATTTTGAACATAATGGTCAAGATGATAAGGTTTTCTTATGAAAAAATGGATGATAATTTTGCTCCAAAGCTCATGTGATACTTATACTTATACTTCAAATATTATTGGATTTACCTTTAGCTATAGCTACCTACTAGAGTTATGGTGAATCAAGGTATTTATAGCAAAAAGTCAAAAAAATAAGTATAAATGATTAGTAATTGCTTTATTTATACTATCATAGTATTGTCCTATTTTAGTTTTAGAAAATATATCATAAATTGTTCTTTAAATGAGCATTATAACTTAGCCATATTAAAATGGGTTAATTGGCAACCCAAGGTGTCATCTGATCATCTATACGATGAAAACAAATATGAATTGAGACCTTACTAAAGGAAGGTCTGGAGAGAGAAAAGAGAAGAGATGAAATAAGATATTAGATCTTATCATTGAAAGAATTGTATCTCTTATTTCTAGTCATGAAGAACAACTAGCAATATCAACACATCTATTACATATGTAGTATCTAGTTTGGTAGGGGCATAGTATGTATCAAACTACCTACAACACTATCATAGACAATCTCCTCCACATATTCCAATTCTCTTGATGTCTTTACAAAATATGTGTCGACAAACATTTTGACTCTGCCTGTGAAGTATGTATTAAACTTAAATCTACAATTCTTATCTAAGTCACATGGGCACTCTAGTTTCTTTCTCTCTCTCTTTTAGTGATAGTAGACAAAGATTTTATATTGGTTCACTTTTTCTTGGGCTACTCTAGTACTAGAAAATCTCCTTTCTAGATTTATATTGTTTCTCAATAAAAATATAGTTGATTTCATAAACTCATCTCTTCCAACATAACTATTCGATCTCCATAAATATCCCACCCCTCACAAACAAGTCTTGACTCACAATACCACATACTAAGTCAAAGTATAATTCTCCTCAAAGAATAATACTCATCAAAGGAAAAATTTAGTTTTCACCACCTAGGTTATCATAGGGCCTAATAGAAAAA